AAGAGTGTTAAGTGCTTCATTTCTTCATCAAAGAAAGGATACGGTGTGACTCGCTCGTAACCATAAAAAACTTCCTGGTAGAAAGAAATTTTATACAAGAGTGCTTTTCGGTTTAGGCGGCACAGGTGTACCAAGCTCCAAGGGCTGGAAGCAGATGCTGAGCAGGTCAGTCTGGGAATAAGAGGCACTTTTAATCATTCAGGTCGAGATGCACCAGCAGCCCGGCCTGGTGAAGGCAACCGGTGGCCACACCAGGAACGGATCTTTTCATGTCTGCTCCTTTTCAGCATTACATCAACAGGTTCGCAGGAGGGAGTTTGCAAATGGGCAGCAGCTCCGGGCACTGCTCACGGTCTCTTCTGCAGGCAAAGCCCCATGTGCATCCACCCCCGTGTCTCCACACAGGGACAAGGACAAGGACGGGGCCTGCTCATAAACACTGTCTGTCCCAACGTCTTTGTGACAAAAAGCAAAATGCACCAGTGTCAACCATACAGGGCAGGGTGCATAATTCTACTGCCTGCAGTTATTCTGGGCTTTAAGTCTGTAACTTTGAAGCTGTAGTCAAATCTCACACAGCTTTGAGAGCAGATAAGTGTGCAAGCTTCTCATACAGACATGCCTAGTAAAGAACCCGAAGCTTGGCTTCAGTAGGAAACTATTCCTGCATTTCCTCCCAGACACCCCTATCAGCGCGCTCAAATCTGACTGAACACCAACACTCCTCACTCGATTCTCACCAGTGCCTCAGTTTTGCCCTAAAATATGCCCCTACTCTACCATGAAGCTTCCCATGAGCAGGCTCGGCGGTGCTGAGTTATGTCACTGCCGGATGATCCCCGTCCCCTTTCTGCTCCATACTTATCAGGACACTTTAATAGGAAATCTTCCCAAGAGAGATTTTGTTAATCCCAGACAGTTCTGCACATTAATTTCTCTGTGTGTTAATAACTTTAGAACTCACACAAAAATAGTAAGCTCTGTGCTAGTAATTTTACAATAAAAGGTGGAAGTAGCATTCAGAATTTAGCGCTATTCAGCAGAGTTCGATGCTAGCAGCATAAACCCAAGCAATACTACCGCTTCTTACACCCAGCTTTCAGCCTTTTACCTCCACCCTATTTTGTAAAGTATTTAGAAGGGAGATTTACTGAGACTGGTGTAATTCCTCGTCTCCAGTGTCCCCACTACTACTGCCCCCGTTTGGGGTTATGGTTTGCTGCTGGTAATTTTAAGGGCGACATCCGGACATAACCTGAGCACACGAAACTCTCTTTGAAACAATGGCAGCAGCTTTTGGCTGCCCAGAAACAATGACAGCAGATTTTTGGCACCCAGAAAGCTGATGTTAGAAGCAATGGGGAAGGTTTGTGTTTTCCCAGCATATCGGTGTACGCTCGGAAAAGTCATTGGAGGGTGCAAGTTGGCGCAGCGCTGGACGGCCGTTCCCAGCTGGCAGCTGAACGAGCAGCTCAAGGACTACCTCGGCTCCGTCCCCTTGCCCCATATTCCCCGTCCTTCCCACGCGCAGCGTGGCCACCAATGACAAAAGGACTAAAACTGCACCGAAGACACTACCGAAAGTAGGGCACAGTATCTTTCACATCGACCTGTTAACTGTAACTTATCTCTGACTTCTCTTAGAAGCTAATTATTTTACACATTTAAATTAGGGTAATTAGAGCAGCAGGAA